AATTTCTTCTTTGATCTCCTCATTAGTCCAGTGGTCTTCCAGTAGTGTGGGTTTCAATCTCCATGAAGTAGGAGAGTTCCTTGTGTTCTTTTAATGGCTTATTTTTAGTTTGATGACTTCATGGTCAGAGAAGATGGTTGGTATGATTTCAATCTTGGTGTATCTGTTGGTGTTTGACTTGTGTCCCTGTACGTGACTGGTCCTGGAGAATGACCATGTGCACTTGAGAAAAATGTATACTCAGATTTTTTTTGGATTTACTATTCTACAGATGTCTGTTAAGCCCATGAGCTCAAGATCGTCATTTAGAGCTTTAGTGTCCTTACTTATTTTTTGTCTCATTGATCTATCCATTGTTGATAGTGGTGTGTTGAAGTCTCCTACTACATATGTGCTTTCTCTGATGTCTGTTTTCAGAGATGATAATAGTTGTCTGATAAATTTTGGTGCTCCTTCATTTAGTGAGTATATGTTAATGAGTGTTATTTCTTCTTGAAGTATTGTCCCCTTGATCATAATGTAGTGACTGTCAGGGTCTCTTTTTACCTTTTTGAATTTGAAAGCTGTTTTATCTGATAAAAGTATAGCTGTTCCTGCCTTCTTTTTTGGTCCATTAGCTTGTAGGATTGTTTTCCATCCTTTTACTTTCAGTCTATTTTTATCTTTTGTAGTTAAATGTGTTTCCCAGAGACAGCAAAAGGTTGGGTTTTGTTTCTTAATCCAGTCTGCAACTCTGTGTCTTTTTATTGACGAGTTTAGTACGTTTACATTTAGAGTTAATATTGATATGTTAGCGTCTGTATTTGCCATTTTGTTTGTCTTTTCTCTGATTTATTTATTATTTTTAATAATTTTTTTTGGTCTGTTTCGTTCTTATTTATACCTCTGTTGGTTCTGGCTGTAGGACTCCTTACAATATTTTTTGGAGTGGGGGGTTTAGTTGTAATGAAATTCCGGAGTTTCTGTTTGTCTGGGAAGGCCCTTATTCTTTTTTCATAGAGGGAGGAAAGCTTTGTGGGACAGAGGATTCTTGGTTGGCATTTGTTGTCTTGGAGTCTGTTGACTATGTCCCTCCCCTCCACTTTCTCCTTGCCTGTAGTGTTTCTTTGGAGAAATCTGATGTCAGTCTGATTGGTTTTCCTTTGTATGTTATCTGTTTCTTCCCTCTTGTAAGCTTCATTATTTTTTCCTTTCTTGGATTCTTGGGAGCACTACTATTATGTGCCTTGCTGTATTTTTTCTTTCATCATGGAAGTTTGGTTTTCTTCTTGCTTCTTGTATGTCTATTTTTAGCTCCTTCTTCATGTTTGGGAAGTTTTCTTCAATTATTTCCTTGAATATTTTCTCTGTTCCTATGTCTCTCTGCTCTCCTTCTGGGTTTCCTATAACTTTTATATTTCCTTTCCTCATGGAATCAGATAGATCCTGAAGTCTTTCTTCATTCTTTTTCTTTCATACTTCTCTTTCCTTTTCTGTTTTGGTTCTTTTTATTTCTGTGTCTTCGAGAGTATTTGTTTGTTCTTCCATTTCAACTGTACTGCTTTCACTGCTTTTCCCAGAGTTCTTTAGCTCCTCCATTAATCCTTTATCTCCTGCATTTCTTTCACTTCCCTCTTTAGGGACTCAATTTCATTCTTCTGATGGTTGATTATTTTTCCCTTGTCATTATTTTCCTTTATGACTTCTGTCAGTTTTTTAATCATGGCAATTTAAAATTCTCTTTCTGGAAGGCTCAGAAGTTCTTCCAAGTCACTGTTGTTGCATTCTGGTGGGTGATTTTCTTTTTGTGGTATGTCTTTTCCCTGAGGACTTCCTTGGTTGCTTGTAGTTTTTCTTCTCCCTGCTGCTTGTTTTCTAATTTGTCGTATGCATTGGAACACTGTGTCACTGGTACTGGCCAGCATCTTTTTGGTGTGCTTTTTCTGGGATGTCAGAAACTGGTGGCGCAATCAGTCAAAAACTGTTATGCCAGAATTCCAGTAGTGCAGTGGTACTATGAATATGTTAGTGGTCGCTGTCACAGAGAATCTCCTTCTGTTTTTGTTTAATTCCAAGGTGGCTCTTGCAGTCCCACAGACTACCTCTGGTGGCAGGATCACCTGCTGGGCTCCAAATTGCTGGATCCCCCTCTGTAATCTGACTGGTGGCCAGATGGGGCCTGGCTTGTGGGTGCTTTTCAGCTCACCTCTGGCTGTGGGGGAAGCCCTTTTCCAGCTCCATGCAAACTAGGTGTGTTCTGGACGGACTCAGAGGGTCCCTGATCTAAAATGGTGAGTTGGGAGGGCCCTTCCCGCTACTGGCATATTTTTGAATTAATGATTTTGTGTCCATTGGGTAGATTCTTCAGAGTGGAATTGCTGGGTCATATGGTAGCTCCATTTTTATTAGATTGAGGAACCACCATACAGCTTTCCATAGTGGTTGGACTAGTTTGCATTCCTACTAGTAGTGTAGAAGAGTTCCTTTTTCTCCACATTCTCTCCAACATTTGTTGTTTCCTATTTTTTTTTTAATATGTGCCATTCTTACTGGTATAAGGTGGTATCTCATTGTGGTTTTGATTTGCATTTCCCTGATTACAACTAATGTTGAAAATTTTTTCATATATGTGTTGGCCATTTGCATTTCCTTTTAGAGAACTGTCTATTTAACTCTTCTGCCCATTTTTTGACTGGATTGTTTACTTTGTTTTTGTTGAGTTTTGTCAGTTCTTTGTAAATCTATGTGATCAGTCCCTTATCAGTTGTATTGTGTGCAAAACTTTTTTCCCAATCAGTAGGGTGTCCCTTTGTTTTGGTTAATGTCTCTTTTGCTGTACAGAAGTTTTTTAATTTGATGTAGTTCCAGCTGTTCATCTTTTCCTACAGTTTCTTTGTTTTGTATGATTTGTTTTTGAAGATGTTACTGAGATGTATGTCATCCAGGGACTTTGTGTGGTTGGAAGTTGTCAAGAACTAACCTTAATCAATTTTGGAAGGATATAGGGTGAAAACTTAAGGAAAACCCAGTGAGCTCTTCTATGTGCTACACATGATGCACTGTCCTAGCACATCCCCGAGGAGCAGCTGTGTCTTGTAGGTTTCAGTGATACAGGGCAGAAACACGGTGTTACTGTACCCATTAGTTATTTCTCAGGACCCAGGAGAGCAGAGGTTCTCAGACTTGAGCATGCAGCAAGAATCGCATGAGAAGCTCTTGATACAGATTGCTGAACCACACTCCCAAATTTCTGATCCAATGCTCTGGGCTACACCTAAGTATTAGCATTTCTAATGAAGTTCCAGGTGATGCAAAATCTTCTTAGCCAGGGGGAAACTATGAAAAACAACATTTACTTGATGGTTTATAAAAATATTCAAAAGTCTTAAACTGCATTGTGAACACATGGAGCTCTGTTCCTGCTGCTCCCCTGGACATCCTCTGGCAGAGTTAGCCTGGTGATGGGACACTAAGAGCTGAAGGGATAATACATATCTAGGAAATTAGAGTGGAGACTACAAGCAGCACCCTATAGCAGTGACTGAAGAGTAGGTGTTAGGTTCTATCATATACACAGTTCTCTGGGGGAGCAGGAGACATTGGACGTTAAGATGCAATCTCAGGCAACAGCTTCCAAGGATGAACATTCTTGCGGGGTGAATGAGGGAATGAAACATTAACATCAAGCTTTCTCCTAACATGGAAATATGATTTGGAGAGAAATACTTATGTATCATTCTTTTTCATTCTACCTCCTATAATTGCCAAACGTAATAAATAATGTTGGAGAGATCATTTTTCAGACAGTTTGAGGGTTATGCCTCAGACCTTTCTGAATGACAGTGTGGGCTCTCAAAAATCTGTCAAGAATCTGTGGGTGCAATTTCTCTCTATGTGTCATCTAGCCACACAAATCTTGGCTCTTACATATCAAGTAGGTAATTTCTACCTCACATATATCACAGGCTGAGTGATCTTCACTGAGCAATGAACTGTCAAAATTTTTAAATTTGTCCTGATTAGTTTGTGCAAACCTCCCTGAGTTTTGTTGGGTTGTTATCTCATAATCCCTTCAGGTTTGTAAACCTACTCTGAGTTCTATAAAGATGAGAAACTGGGCAAAGTAGCAAGTAAAAGTCATCAGTAAAACCACAGCAAAATCAGAGAGAGAATCTGGGAGAGGCACCTAGTGCAGCACTTAAATGCAGAGCAGGCCTGGATCCCCATCAAAAGCTCTATAATGCTAGCTAGTATTCCTCTTTTTGTTTTTTAGTTTATTGTGCATGCTTCCACTTCCACTGGAATTGGGAAGAGGAGGTCTGTGTAAAATGCCCTTGGAAGACCTTCTTTCTCCTCTGTATTTGCAAAACCTCCTCAGGTCTGGAGAATTCTTTGTAACCCACACTGACCTTGTCAACTTTTGGAATCCTGCACCAGATGCTAAATGTCAATTTCTAAGATTGTATTTGGTATACATATTATGATAAAATTATGCCCCTTCAATGTGTCCAAGGAAAAGTTTTTGTCCTGGGATGCTCAGGTTTTCTTCTGGGAGGGAAAAGGAGGGCAGTGAGGGCTGGCTTTCTGTTTCAGGTTACTCCTGACTATTTAACCATGGCCCCTGACTAAGGCTCACTGAGCCTGTCCCTGCCCCTTGGTGCTCAGTCCCCATCGAATAACCTGGGTGAAATCTATTCTGGAATATCCTGTGGTGGCTCCACACAATTAGCAGAAGGGACTGTCAGCCCTTTAGGGGAAGACTTAGTCTGAGGTGATGGCTTGCCAGATAATGGGCTTCAAGATCCTTTTGGGTCTTGTAGAAACCACCTAGTTGAACTAATGAAAAAAATGCCTGCTTTCTTTTCTCTTTCCCATCCCTCATTTTCACCTACTTAACTACGTTTTAAAAAGTGGTAATTTTAAAGATGTGAATTTAAAGTATTTCTCTGGAAATTCTAGATAAACTTTGATATTTGTAGATTAGTCTTAATTATTTTTCTATTTTTCTTTTTTAAATACAGAACTGTTAACTGCAGAGAGAGGTGAGCAGTATTCCTTTCTATTTTAGAAGCAAATGTATCACATTAATGTAGATTTGATCTATAAAATTATATTTGCAATTGATTTCTAAGAAGTGATCATTCTTTTAAATTATCTATACATATAATTCATCTTCAACTGATATGTTGTGATTTTATATTATAAATTATAGGTTGTATAATTTAAGATAGTTCAATTGAGGCATATTATATTTTTTGTTTGTTAGCATTTGTTTTAATGTTTAAAGTCCACATAAAGAAATTGAATATTCCACTTTAAGACATTTTATTTGATGAAAGTTTCATGGGTCTGTACTTTTTTTTTCAAATTCATCAAGTTGCATGCATTACACCATTATATTAATCATACCTCAATTAAATTAAAAAATAAAAAGTGTGATAAGGAAGAAAAAAGATATTGAATATTCCTTTATGTTTTTTCTACTATTTTATGTTTAGAAATCAGTGCCTGAATTTTTAGTTTCACCAGTTTTTTGTCTACTTGTTAAATCCTTTGTTACTAAGTGCTAATTAATATTAATTTATATTTTCCATGATGAGATACCAACCCAATATATGACCATCAAGATATAGTTTTTAAAGACTTTGTATTTTTCTATATCATATTTTAAATTGTTACAAGATATTTTCTCTTCATGTATTTTTGGTTTTGATTTTGTTTCTTTTTTTTTTTTTTTTTAGAGAAGGCAGTGCCTTTACTGGTCATGCAGGCTATTTGAGGGGGATGAAGCGGGAGGAGTGGGTGTCCCCTATGCCTGACCGGCTGTGTTTGACAGGCTTGTAGTTGATGGAAAACTTGCCCAGGTAGTGGCCAATCATCTCTCAACCTTTTTTTTTAAGAGAGTGTTTTTCTAGTGTCTGATATTTCTCTTGGCCTTTGCCCTTGCTTTCCCCATCCTGGAACCTTTTATTTCCTTGAATATTTCCTGATGAACCATGTTTCTCCTGGGGGAGGCTGATGACCCCTCACCAACTCATCAGAGATCTAAGTGCTGCTTGCCACACCCTCTCACAATTGCATTGCTAGTACTCTGTGCAGGCACAGACCTGGATCCTGTGTCTTTTCAGGAGAGACCGTGGCCTGTCCTGTGTCCAGATCAGGGTGATCAGTCTACAGATATCTGTGGATGGGAAAATGTGTCTTATTAACAAGATTTCTTTTCATTGTTCATGTGTGTTTTGCCCTCTATTTTTCCAAATCATGTGGAACAAGAGAAATTGAACTCTGTTTTCATTTTCAGTCCAGGTTTAAATGTAATACAACATTTAATTGGACAATCTCTTATGTTTTATAATTAATCTCTTATCAGTATAAATTGATCTCACACTGATCTGAACCCAATGTCTTTGCTATCCTCCTCTGGATCTCAGATAGTTCTTGGTGAAGAACTTTGGCCATTAGCTGCTATTAATAGGTCTGTTCATAAGATGTCAAGCCAGACTCCACATTACTAGGAGAATGAAGTAAAGGGAAGGGGTTTATAAGGAATTTCCTAAGTAGTCATGCCTTGTGGAAATGGCATAAATGGGACTGAGCAATGGCAGGGGCTCCTGAGGAATTCATCGAAATCTTCCCCAAAAGGAAGAGTGAGTATTTGAATATCTGAATACACAGATGTCCCTCAAGCAAAGCAGTTTTTCCCCTTATTAAAAAAAAAATCCTTGTAACTGTGTGTGATACAGTCACATTTGGTCAAATGTTTAGTAGATAGCTATTTTGATAAAGTGTTATTTGTATGAACTTGACACTATCCAACAAGCATACTTGGTTGTTTTCTACTGAGAAAACTTCTAGATAAAGGGAATTCTGAGTACATTTGCTAACACTTGTTCCCTGAAAATCTCAAAAGGGTATGCTAGTATGACATGGTTGAAGGGAAATATTGTGGAAATTGCCATTGTCCCTACTTCTATGATTCCTTCTGTGGGATGAATCAACATGAGGTTCGGATCAATATCATATCAGTGCTACAGGCTCCTGAGGATACAGGACACCTCAGCAGCCTCTGGTGTGAAATATTTTAAGGTGTGGAACAGAAGATTGTCTCTGCTTCTGAAACTCCAGGGAAAATACTTGTATTTAATGTTTTTTATTGAAATTTTCTGTAGCTTGACTTGAGTTAGCAAGTTTCCAGCCTCTTTGTCCCCAGCTAAGGTAAAGTGCCCCACCCCCAAATCCTCTATCTAGTGACATCACTCCCAGTAGGAAAATACAAGTTATCATTAGTTATTCCAGTTTCTTCTTATCATGAGCCAGATCTCCACTTACAGCTCTTGTGATGAAATGAGAACATCAGTGTCAGTTTTAGACCTCACCCTTTGGAAATCATGGATAGAAAGTATGGAGTTTGTAGGTACTTGGCACCAATGTTTTCAAATTTGAGACCTCATCTGGTGGTGGAATTAACAAGAAAGGAAGAGAATTCTTTTCATATCTTTCCATGTGACTATTCACAGTCAAACAATATTTTTTAGTTTGTGTGAACGTTTCATTCAGAAAAATGGAGTTTTTCTATGTGCCAGGCTCAGCATGAACCAACATGTCTGTGGCCTCACATTTTCTTTTGTAAAGTGGGGACCCAGATCTGATGGGGAAAAATCTGTGGGTAGGGAGAAGAAAACACCATCTAACTTACTTTTGTTTTGCTTTCTTGTGTTTTTTTCTTCATACATACAGACAAATTAATGAAAGAAAAAGGTAAGTGATGTACAATAAAAACCCACTCTTATTAAATTCAGCATTGTTTCAGATTTTGCTCATTTCCCTCTCCCCAACAGTTTTAGAGACAATTGACATATAACGTCATGTAACTGCACCATGAAGATTTGTACCTTAACTGCACCATGAAGATTTGATATGCATATATATTGCAAAACATATATACTATTTATATGTATAGTTCACAGTTCACATTCATCACCCCACATAGTTGCATACTTATTATTTTACTTTTGATGAGAACTTTAAGATCTGCCCTTTAGCAACATTCAAATTTACTGATTAACTTTTGTCATTATGCTGTACATTATGTCTATGATCTTGTAGTTTCTAATGTCAATGGGGGAACGAAGATATGAGGTAGTATTTTTGTGAGTAGGGAGAAGACACTATCTAACACACATTTATTTTGCTGTCTTCTCTGGTTTTTTTTATGCAGAAGAAATAAAGAAAGAGAAAGGTAAGTGATGTTCAATAACAACCCACTCCAACTGAATTCAGCATTGACCTCAAATTTTGTTCTCCCTGCTCCCTTTCCCCACCACAACCCCATTGGGATAATTAACGTGACATTATATAAGCTTTAAATGTACACTGTAAAGATTTGATATGTATATATTACAAAATGATTGCTATGATAATTAGAGTTAACATCCACTACCTCCCAGAGTTACAAACATATTATTGTACTTTTGATGAGAACTTTCAAGACCTATCTTAGCAACTTTCTGGTGTGCTTACTATTGTTACATATTGTACGTATTTTTTCTGACCTTATGTTTTCTATTTTCAAGTGGAGACAAATATTTGAAGTGGGTTTTCTGTGGATATGAAAGAAAGAAACTCTAACATTACGTTTGCTTTTTGCAAAAAAATAGAGAAAAAGAATGGTTAAGTGATGTACAACAAAGATGTTCTCCAATTGAATTCATCATTGACCATAAAACTGTACATGTCTACATATACATATCTACCTCTACCACTTTCTTTATCCATCCTTTCATCTATGGGCACTTAGGTTGCTTCGTTGGCAGGACTATTATAAACAATGCTGCTCTGAATCTGGGTGTGCAGATATCTTTTTGGGACAGTGATTTTATTTCCTTCTTATATATATTTAAGAGTGAAATTGCTGGTTCATATGATTGTTCTCTTTTTAATTTTTTGAGGAGCCCCTATACATTTTTTTTAAACTGGTTGAACTAATTTAAATTCCAAATACTTCACAAAGGTTGATTTTCTCCACATTCTTGCCAGAATTTATTTCTTGTCTCTTATGAAAGTCTATTTAACAGGTGTCAGATGATATGTCGTTGTGGTTTTTTACGCTTATTTCCCCAATTTATCAGATAGTTTGCAAATATTGTATCTCATTTTCATTTTGTTGGTGAATTCTTTTTCAGTGCACACATTTTTTTAGATTGATATAATCCTACTTGTTCATTTTATCTTGTTGCTTTTGCATTAGGAGTCAGTTACAAAGTATCATTGCCAACTTACAAGTCAAAGAAATTTTTCTCTGTGTTTTCTTCCAGATGTTTTGTGATTTCAGGTTTTACATTTAAATCTTCTATCTAGTTTGAGTTAATTTTTGGAATACATATGATAGACATAGCATTTCATTCATGTGACGATGCTATTTTCCCAGAAGTACTGATATTTATTGAAAAGAATGTTCTTTCTCCATTGAGTATCATGACTCCCTTATCAAATAATTGACTGTTGTGGATAGGTTTTTTCCTGAACTCTCCGTTCTGTTTCATAGGTCTGTCTCTGCTATTTTTTTTTTTTTAAATGCCAGTACTTCATTCTTTTGATTACCATAACTTTGTAATCTAGTGAGAGGTCAGGAAGTGTGGTATCTCTAGCTTAGTTCTCTCTCAGGATTGCTTGGACTACTTGTGGTCTTTGGTCATTCTGCATAAATTTTAGGATTGTTTTCTTTCTATTTCTTTAAGTAATGTCATTGGAATCTTGGTGGGCATTGCACTGAATCAATAGATGACTTTTCATTGTTTGACTATTTGAAAAGTGTTATTGATTCATTTTAAAACGTTGATGTCTTTCCATTTATTTATATCTTCAACTTCCTTAACAGCTTATATCTTTCATTGTAGAAATCTTTCACCTCCTTGGCTAAATTTTCCCTTGTGTTTCATTGTCTTTGATGCTATTGAATCAATGTTTGTTTTCTTTATGTATTTTGCAGATAGCTTTTTGTGAGGGCACAGAACACTTGGTTTTTATATTGATTTTGTACTCTGCAACATTCCTGAATTTGTTAGTTAGGTCTAATTTTTATTTAGTTGAGTCTTTAGGATTTTCTGTAGTATTTAACATCTCATTTGCAAACACAATTTTATTTCTTCCATTATAATTCTGGTACATCTTTGTTCTTTTTGTTGCCTGATTTCTCTAGCTTTACTTCCAGTGCTATGTTGAATGGACCCAGTGGGCATCCTTGTCTTATTTATCCAACCCCTTGCCTTATAGTCAAGCCTACATTCAATGATCATTATTATGTATAAGAATGTATGTCTGTTTCAACAGGTAGTATCAGCAGATGCTAAGAATACTAGAAATCATATGAGCTTCATGTGTTATAAATGAAACTATATTTATGAGTGTATTTTCATTCTTTTCCCCACCTGTTTTAAGTCCCCCACTCTATCATTTTGATGCTTCAATATAGCCACCTTTGTTACCTTTATTGTCCTTTTAGCTACAGCTCAGAAGAACTTACCACGAACTTTAGGAGAGATTCAAAGAGTTGTGAAACACTCTGAAATGCTCTGGGTTGAGAACATCCAAACTATTAACTTGAAAAAGCAAAAACAAAACAAAAGCATTTTGCCTGATAAATGACTTTTATTGTTTTTATTTTATATATTTTTACATCATTTTTCATTTTTGCACAATGTATGCATTTTCATTTTGATTATAGTCTCCATACAATTCCCACCCCCCCTTGTTTTGATCCTTCTCCCTTCTCCCTCCCCTCCCTTCCCCTGTAGTGTGTCTCTGGTGTATAGAGTTTTGATTATTTCCACTAAATGTACCCCTAAGTCTCCATTTTGTCACTAGTTATTTGATGCATAATGTTATCTATTTTAAAAATTGGAGGAAAGGTAAGCACTAAATCACTGTCAACTTTTTGAGCAAATGCTATATATAATCCTTTTTCTCTTTCTAAAGTTTAGTTTACATTTCATAGAATCTGTATAAATGCAATCACACAGTTTGGGGAGAGCTGGCTTGTGTCATTCAGCATATTTATTTAAGATTATGCATCATTTTGTTTATCAATTGTTTGTATTTATTGTTAATTAGAAATCAATTGCTTGAGTCAAATGGATGTAATTTGTGTATCTGTCCACTTGTTGATAGGCATTTTGTTTTCTCACTTTTGAGCCTTACACGTCAGTATCATGAATTTACAAAGAAAGAACTGCCTTTGGTGTTTCCCTTAAGTGCACATATGTTGTGTACCATTTTTCTCTCAAAATACTTTTTAAATTTCCATTTAAGTTTCTTTGACTCATTAGTAGATCAGGAATGTGATTAACTTCTATGTGAATTTACCAGTTCTCCTATTGATTTCTATGTTCATACCATTGTGGTTAGAAAAGATACTTGTTATAATTTTAATCTTCTTAAATTTGCTAAGTTTTTTTATGGTCTAGCGTATGACTTATCCTTGAAATTTTCCCATGTGCACTTGAGAAAACAAGTTTACAAGTCTACTGGAAGTTTTTTTTTTGTTGTTGTTAAAGATTTATTTATGCTTACAAGAACTGGGATACAGGCCAGAAGTGTGGGGGGTGAGAGAATTCACCAGAGACAGAGCGGGGAACAGAACAGGCAGATTGACTGAAATGCACTGCTGAGGGGAGCAGCGAGTGTGACAGGAGAGGTCTGCTGTGCCATATGGGTTGCTGCCTGGCTGGGGATCAAACTTGTGCTGCAGTGGCTGTGGGTAGCTCCATAGGTTGCATGTTAACCCCTTGCCACCAGGGAGGCCCTCTACTGGAAGTTTTGCTTAGCAAGTTGAGTTGGGTCCCATGTGGATGTCTTGGAGAAGTTGTCCTTTCTTTCTTTGAGTCTCAAACAACAGAAATAGAGATATTCATTGATAACTTGCTATTTATATATACGGGCAAAACCTGACATTAAACTTTTTGAGTATCAGGAATTAATATTTTTAACCTCTTTATTTTACTTTTTAGATGAACTCAGTAATGAACTTGGTAAGTTCTGTGTCTCTTTCATATGCTAAATTGAAAATAAAGCCTCTATTACCTCAAAATACTTACTTCTCTCTCTGATTGGCTGCAGACAGAAGAATCGCCATAGGAGTAGATGGTAAGTGATGTCAAAATGACAAAAGTGCCATGCTATATGTCATTACTTGCAACATCCCTTGCCCTGCCAGTTATTCAGCTAACCTTGAATGTTTCTATTTGTAGGTCTGAATAAAGCTCGAAAATCTGCAGGTAAACAAGCAAAGTTGATAATGTGTGGCTAGGAATGACTGAATGCTTGTCATTTAACCTTTTTGGTATTCTGTTGTAAATAAATGGTTTTGCCCAAATAATCTGTAAGATATCCTAAAAGTCAGGAAATCATTTGATTTCAAATATATAGGCCAAACATTAAAATAAGAATCAAGTCAATAAATGGGAGAGATTATGTTTCAAGAAGACCCCTTTCAATGAATGCACAAGCTCTGTAAAGCATGGGTACAATTAAATCACCTTATACAGAGATGCAGTTTTGGTTTTTAAAAAAAGATTTATTTATTTATTTATACAAGCACTGGGGTACAGTCAGAAATGCGGGAGGGTGAGAGAATTCACCAGAGCCAGAGCGGAGAGCAGAATGACGAAGTACACTGTTGAGGGGAGCAGCAGGCGGCAGGAGAGGTCTGCACACTATTTTGGAACCTCCCCTCACGGCCGGGGATCGAACCAGCTCTGCAGAGGCTGCTGGCAGCTCCATAACCCAGCGCTCAACCGCTGCGCCACCGGGGAGGCCCAAGATTTATTTATTTATGCATACAAGAACCGGGGTACAGGCCAGATGTGTGGGGAGGGTGAGAGAGAGTGGGGAACAGAACAGACATACTGACTGAAGTACACTGCTGAGGGAAGCAGCAGGTGAGAGAAGACAGGTCTGCGCGCTATGAGGGACCCTCGCCGGCTGGCCGGGATTGAAACTGCTCTGCAGAGGCTGCGGACAGCTTCACAGCACTGGGCTCAACCACCTGCGCCAGCAGGATTGCCCTACTTTTCTATTTCTTAGACACACTGAGCATGTTTCTTCCTCTGTACTTTGCAGATGGGGTTTACTCCATGGCATTTCTTTAGTCACTTGTCATACTTTTACTCTATTCATAATGAGCATAATATTCCCAGTGAAAATACTTCATAAACATTCTGAGATTTGAAACATTGTTAAAGATTTTTCACATATATGCCAGCTGGCATCTATACATACTTCTGACCATATCAGTTTTTTCCTCTGGAAACTCTGAGATGACTACAAATCAATTTACCTGTGAAATGGTTTAATGTTTTGCTCCAAAAAAATAAAAATGTTCAGATTTGGGAATGGAAGGCATCATGGATAATGGTTTAGGAAATCTGAGTATTTTATCTCTCTGTAGTTTTGAAAAGGATCCTCTAAGTGACTTGATTTATCCCTCACCCTTCTTTGATCCCTGTCTTAGAAGATGAAAGTTCATAAGTCATACAATTAATTGATCTAATCTTTCTTCTACAGCAAACATATTACTGGATGAAAACACTGCTCACCCTCATCTTCTGGTGTCACATGATGGAAAAACTGTGACTTCTCTTCCAGAAAAACAAAATCTTCCTGATAATCCTAAGCGACTTGATAGTCTGGAGGCTGTGCTGGGTCAGAACAGCTTCTCCAGTGGTGAGCATTACTGGGAGGTCTGTGTAGCAGGGAAGAACAGGTGGGCAATAGGACTGTGTGAGGACTCAATTCCCCGGAAAGGACAGTACATCTCCGCTAGGCCTGAAAATGGTCTCTGGACACTTTCCCTGAAGAATGGTCAGTTGAAGGCACTTGGCAGCCCGCGTTTCCTTCTTCATGTCCCAGAACCCCTTTTGACCGTGGGTATTTTTCTGCAGTATGAAAAAGGGCTGATCTCTTTCTACAATGTGACAGATTGTACCATTCTCTATACTTTCAAAAGCAACTTCAAGAAGTCCCTGAAACCATATTTTTATCCTGGACCACCCACTAGGAGTAACCGTAATGGCCTTACCATCCTCCAGGTAGAGCCTGTCCCCAGTAAGTCACTCATGGCTGAGAAACAGTGAGGAGTCGTGCTCAACCATGATAGCACGTAGTCATCCGCCAAGCAGGATGCTGCGGCCAGGGGATGTGAGGATCTACCTCAGTGCCCCATCTCCTTCCTGTCTTCTAGGAATCTGAGAATGATCCCTTGCATTCACTTTTTATACTACTCATATCTATAAGCCATTCTCCCCTCAGTGCACTTTAATTTATTCCCTTTGGTTTTAAGAATTTCAAAGCTCCCCCATCCTTCCTAGATTTGTTGTTGAGATTCTGAACTAGGTACTTACTTTCCTCAGTAAATCTCTGCTCCACATTTCTCAACATGCATCATTCCAGGTTACTCTGTGTGTTTCTGTTTCATCAATAAGTTGTGGGTTCTTCAAGAATAGAACCAAGTGATGTTCATTTTTATTACCATCTTTGTGACAAAATCAGTACCTCAAGCAAAACATGATGTTGGATAAAATTTAATTGAGTAAGTTGAAGCCAATCAACAACCAGACTGGCCTTTGATTTCATGTAGATTCTATGATTTGTACATCATCCCTTTCCAGGTCCTGTAAATTCCATGGTGATACATGTCAGTACATTCATACAGTAAGATACTACTTGACTTTGAAAGAGAACGAATTTCTTATATACTGAACAATACAGATGATGGTCCGAATGCAAGGGATCATTCCAGGTTATGCTGAGTAAAAAAAAGTGGACACAAAAATGATAATGTTATTTTTCCACATATATGAAACTCTTGAAGAGGTAAAATTAATGTCTCATGATCAAATCAGATAAGTAGATTCTTTGGAAGTAGATTGACTGGGAAATAATAGAAGTTAACTTTCAGTTATTCCATATCTTTTTAAAAAAGATTTATTTATTTATGAATACAAGAGCTGGGGTATAGGCCAGAGATGCAGTGGGTAAGAGGATTCACCAGAGACAGAATGGGGAGCAGAACAGGCAGATGTACTGAAGCACACTGCTTAGGGGCAGCGGGCGAGACAAGAGAGGTGTCTGCTATGCCATGTGGGTCACATACCTGGCTGGGCATCGAACTCGTGCTGCAGTGGCTGTGGAGCTTCATAGTGCTGCATCTTAACCCCTTGTGCCACCAGTGAAGCCCCAGAAATATTCTGTATCTTAATGAGGATGAGGGTTTCTTGCATATATGCATGTATCTAAATTCATTTGCTTGTACACTTAAGATTGCTATATGTCATTCTGTTGTGGTCATTCTCCACAATGGCCTCCATTTTTCCTTTCCTCCTGTTATTGTGCCCCTTTGAAGATACTATCTTATTGAATAATTGCTATCAGTGAGAGAATAAATGGAGTTAATAGTACCCAAAGTTAGGGTCTAAGTGGCATCGCAACTTCTGTGTTCATCTCTTGGCTCACTCTCTGGAGGAAGTCAGCTACCATAACATGAGGACACTCAAGTTGTTCTGTGGAAAGTCTGAGGTCTGCCATGAGGGTGAGTCACCATGAAGTGAATAATCCAGCCCAGACTATCCAACATTGAACTGCACCTTCATGAGAAACAGAACCACAACTTCCTTCTAAGCCCCAAATGCTTGAACTGTAGACATTTTGAGATGTTACTAATAGGAATGATTATTTCTGTTTTAAGTCACTAAGATTGGAGATGATTTGTTACACAGCATTTGATAAATAAATAATATACAATGTATGTAAATTTTATTTTAAAATTAGGTAATAATAATAAAAATGATAAAAACTCATTCCATAGTAGCCTCATTGCAACTTCTCTTTCATTTATTATTTGCTGCCTTTTTGTTTTAGTGATTCTAGATAAAGATGAAATATTTTTTGTTTATTTTTTTGAGAAAACAGCTCTGATTATTTCCTTTACTTTTTGGATATTTCCTTTCCTTTTTCTTTTTCTTATTTCTTTAGATGTAAGTTTAGATTGCTTTTTGGATTTTTCTTGTTTCTTCACATAAACTCTTAGTGGCACTTGTGCTGCATCTTAAATTTTGATATGCAGTGTTTGCATTTTCTCCAGGTATTTTTTGATTTCTCCTATGATTTTTCATTAACGCGATACTTGTTCAGTAGCATGTTGTTTAATCTCCAAAATGTTGTCATTTTTCCAGCTTATTTTGGTTGACTTTTAGCTTTAGATATAAAGATGTACCAATGTGATCAGAAAATATGCTTCATATGATTTCAGTCTTCATAAATTTGTTGAGACTTGTTTTTGTCCCAGTATTTTATTTATCCTTAAGAATGTTCCATGTGCAATTGAGAAGTTTGTATATTCTGTTATTTTTCAGTTGAATATTCAGTAAATAGATATTAAATCCATCTTTTCTAATACCATTTAAGATTTATGTTTCCTTGTTGATTTTCTTTCTGGAGATTTATCACATGATGCAAGTTGTGTTAGTATTATTGTATTACTGACAGTTTTTATCCTTTAAGTCTATAATTGCTTTGAATATTTTGGTGCTCCTATGTTGAGAATATATATATTAATGGCTGCCAAAGTTTCTTGATGGATTGAGCCCATCAGGATAGATGTGGGTTTTATTTTTCTATCCATCCAGTAGCTCTATATCTTGTGAAGAATTTGTTCATTGACATCTCAGATGATTATTGATAGGTATGCATTTATTGACATTTCGTTCATCGTTTTCTGGCTCTTTCAGGATTACTCTGTTCCTTTCTTCTCTTTGATGGTTTGATGACTTTATTTATATGTTGAGATTCCCTTTCCATTTTCTTTGTGTATTACTTGATTTTACTCTCTTAGGTGTATAATAGTCTGCTTTGAGTCGATAGCCATTGAAACTTGAACACATTTTAAAACTTTGTGATTTTGCCCCCCTTTTATATTTATAATGTCTAATTTTACATCTTTATATCTATTCTTTGACTAATTATTTTAGCATTAGTTACATTTACTAATTTTGTCATTTAATCATTTATGTTGTTTTATACATGATTGATCAACTAATTTTACTGTACATTTATTTTTTTTCTAATGAGTTTGTTCCATTTTGTTTTTCAGTTTAGAGAAGCTCCTTTAACATTTCTTGCAATGTTCATTTAGTGGTGATGCCTCCTTTAACTTTTGCTTCTTGGGAAACTCTCTCCTTCAAATCTGAATATTAATTTCTCTTGGTATAGATTTTTTTTTTTTGTCCTTCCAGCACTTTGAGTATGTCAAGTTACTTCTGACCTGCAAAGTTCCTGTTGAAAAGTCTGCTGATAAACTTATGGAATTTCACTTGTATGTAATAAGCTGGTTTTATCTTATTGCTTTTAAGATCCTTTCTTTATCTTTTTTACATTTTTATTCTTAATGTATGTTGGTGTGGCTCTCTTAAGAATCCTCTGATATGGAACTCCCTGTACTCCCTGTTCCTGGATGTCTGTTTCCTTCCCCAGGTTAATGTTTTCATACATTATTTCCTGAAATATTTCTTTTGGACCTTTTTCTTTTTTCCTTCTGGGATTCCTAAAATGGCAACATTATTCCTCTTAACGTTGTCCTTGGAGTCTTTAGGACTCTTCACTTTTAATTAACTAGTTTACACATAACAAGAAAATTTATTATTTTAAATTTCAAAATTTATTATTTTGAAAGTAGAATCTCAAAGTTTTTTCAACAAATTTTTCAGTGCAAATAACTCAGGGATCTCATGTCCTAGATTAGATATATTACTTTTTTCTAATGCAATTTATATCAGTGGGCTTTTGTATTAGCAGTTTGTCATGATGATAACTTATAACACCATCACTTACAGGGAAATATGAAAAATCTTTCCCCAATGCAGGGAAAATAATCTGGGTTAATAACAAACTCAAAGCTATAGGGATTTGAAGACATTCTTGAAAGCAGTCCTTGGATTCTTTTTCTTTAGAATTTGCTCCATTTTCACAACTATGTAGTCATTGTCCTATTCCATTCTAAAAAAGAAAAAAGAAAGAAAAGAAAACGAATACACTCACACACACAAATCAAACATTTTGAAGATCAAGTTTTCCTTTGGCACAGAACTATTTGGAATGAACCCAATAAGTTAGTGGAATGTTGGTTCCCTCAAGTTGTTTCCTCCTCTTTTAGTAGTATTTACTCAATCAATGATCTCATCATAACCAAGTTCTTTGTCAGATGGTAGACAATAAGTCACAGGTGAAAATAGCTCTTTACTGAAAGATAACTGATCAAACAGAGTATTCTCATAATGTATCTGAAACCCCCCATCCAGAGCTGCTTCTCTTGCTCTGGATGGCCTCAGAAACATCTTGTTGTCTTCTTTAAGGGCCACTAATATTCTGTATACTGCACCACTCAGGGGCTTCTCTCTGGATAGTCATGGCCTTCCTAGTTACCAGATTCACCTTCGTCCTCCCTCTGGAAGTCAGGGCCTGAGATCTGGCTTGGATGCTCCCAAGGCCTGGGCTGATTGGCAAGACCTTGTCTGCACCTCCTCCCTTGGGCCTTCATTCTCAAGCTCTGGTGAGGCCTCTCCTACTACCTGCCTTCATCTGGGAAAGGTCATTTTCACCAGGAATCACATCCATCTGCACATCATGGTTTTCCTTTTACAGTTTGCACAGCATGTTCATTTCTGACATTGTGCACACAGCTCAATCTCTTGAAGTGTTTTCAGGAAGATCAGAACTACCCCACACATTTTGTACACATTTTTACTTTCTAAAATTCCATTTTGAGGTACTGTCAGGGTACGCTCTAGTTCTTTGTGTTCAGCTCACTAATCCGCTCCTTTGCTTTATTCACTCTGCTGTCTGGCCCCCCTCCATTGTATTTTTCAAATCTGTAACTTATTTTTAGATCTGTATTAAAATATTCTATTTCATCCATTCTTCTCTCAAGTCCCAATGCTAAACATTACTTTGAACGCTTCATCAGGTAGTTTGATATCTCCACTTCTTTAAGGGACTTTTTGGGGCTTTTGTTTGCTCTTCCACTTGGGATATAGTTCTCTCTCTCCCATTTGGCTTGCTTCTCTGTGCTTGCTTCTATGCACTAGGCAAATAATTACCTCTCCTAGTCTTGAAGGATGGATTGGTTTTGTACATGATGTCCCATGGAGTCCAAGAACA